TATATACATATATATATTTTAATATGTAAGACACACACACACAAGTACGTACCTGTGCGGACACACATCCAATCATTTATCAATAATCCATAAATTTAATTTTTATCTGTAGCACACCGACACACACACATCTAATCATTTATCAATAATCCATAATTCATTTTTTAAGTGCAACACACCTACTTTTAGAATCTAGGACAAAATATTAGGTACGCATGCAGACTCGTTGTAGAGTCATGTTGTACACTGTTGTACCACGAGTCCGCATGTATGCGAACTCCGCACGTAATATTCTCTCTCGAGAGACTGCAAACCTATTTTGACTCCAATTGAAACTTATTCACCAATTCTTTTGCCTCTCCATGCGGTTAGTATCATCATTTGCCATATCTTGCATAGCATTAATTTTCATAAATTTCTTTTCTTTATAGCATTATTTAAACCATTTTAAAATGCTTGATATTGCTATGCATTGATTATCAATTAACTTATATAAAAATGTGTCCGGGTATAACATGAGGTGTAATTGTATTTATTTAGGTATTTTACTAGGTATCTTTTTTTTAAATAGATCTTAAGATTTAAGTAATATAAGTACAATTAATTTATTTTATTATAACAAGTGATTGTATAACGCTTTTTTCGCCAGCAACATCAGGCGCTAATGGCATGTGTAGTATGAAAAAAATTCTATGAATATCAGACCTGCAAATCATTTGCTCCTCTATGTTGACAGGGAGTATTTCATCAATATTATAATATCTTCATCGAGGCAAATTTTATTTTTTCTATTTTCTTGAAATCTTATTCTTTCGTTAACAATGTAAAAAAAAAAGATTGGTTTTCTTATAAAAGTTCAAGATAAATCAATTAGCCTTATATAATATTTTTGCCTCAATATAATTCCTTTTCATTTGAATTTGTAAGCCCACAATTTGATTTGCAGTTGCTGAAGAATTTTCAAAATATTAGATTTCTAATGTAAATGTCTATTTTTCCTTTTTTGTCATTATTCTTCATTGTTTTTTTCTCCATCTCTGCTTACGGCCTTATTTAAGCTCTGCCTTCTATAGTTCTCAAATTTCTACCTCCAAGCGAGATGCATAAATGGATTTGGCGTGATAAGGATATTTCGATTAGGACAACTGCTACCGAAACTTATTCAGAAATCAACGAAAACGAAATAAAACTTTTATTAGCAATTGAATTAGGGTTACAAACGCTAAACAAAATGAAATTGAAATACAACACCACCAATCTCCGGCTATGACCGAAAGAGAAGATCCGATGACAATGGTGGTGTTGGGGGTGATTGGGGAGTAGTAGTGGTAAGGGGGGGATGCAAAGTAGACGAAAGAAAGTTGTGGATGGGTGGACCGGCTAGGATAGTGGGGTGGGGGTTTAGGAGAGGAGGCTAGGCTAGCTGGACGTGGAAGGAGGAGTAGGTGGCAGGTTTGCAGTTGAGGGAGCAGTGGGACTTGGAAGGTAGGCCCATGGCTAGGGAAGAGGTGGACAATAGGTTAGGGAAGGCTCGGTGGGTTGTGAAGGCTAGAGGAGGAAAGAGAAGGGTGAGGGGGGTGTGGCCAATGATTAGGGAAGAGGGGAAGGAATAGGAGAGGAGACAACATCACATCGGAGCAGGATACAACTAGAGCACCATTTGGTCTTTGGATATAACCCTATCAAGGGAAAAAGAAGACTCCACAGAGGCTCAAAAAGCATATATCTCATAAAACCTAACTCAAATTCCAAAAAGCAACATATAAATAGACTCCAAACAGGCAAAACATAAAAGGAAAGGTAGGGGAAGGGTTGGCGGATAACCACCCTTTTTAATTGCCACTCAGTTCCTTGGGAACCTGGATCGACGCCCACTGGGTCAGTTTTGCTGGTCCATCTGCCAGCCAGTCCATCTGGCTGACCTGCTCAGCCTCGCATCAGTCTCCCGGGGTTAGGGGAGCTTCGACCTCATTTGTCGTAGATTTCGGCTCCTCTCCTGTGATTTTAGCATTCTCAAGGAATCCCACTGGCGATTGCACCGCCCTCCAAGGCGTCTGAGGGTCTTCCCCAACTTACGAGAAAATGTTCATATTGGTCCACTCTTCTGGAAGTCTGCTACTGAACTGAATGGAGTCTACGTGTCTCGCCTCTACTGCTGAATACTCCCCAGATTAATCCATGATTGTTTTCAGTAGATCTAAGTTGGGGGTAACTAGAACATTCTCGTACAGTGGTGGTGCTGGTGGTACGTTGTCGATCGTGATATCCTTAAATACCCTTTGTCATATTTGTCCCATTTCTAGAGCTGGTTTCATAGTCCTATCATTCTCTGTTGTCATCGAAATTGATCCCACTGTGGCTGCTTTGCTAGCGAGGGCTCTTGTGATCTCGAGCTCCGCCGGAGAATGTAGGATAATGCGCTTTCTCTTCTTGGTGAAGGAATATGTGCCTTTGAATCCTTCGTGTTGAGTATTCTTGTCAAATTGCCACGGTCTTCCCAACAGAAGGTGACAAACATCCATAGGGACCACATCGCACCGCACCTGATCCTGCACTAGGCCCCCAAATCGAAAGTTATAGTAAACATCTCCGGCCGATGTTGACCCGTCTCTCCTTCTTCAGCCACATCAATGAAGAAACCACATTCTTATTGTTCCCTTCATCGATGATGAGGTTGCATGTATTTTCATTCTTGATGCATCAGCTCTAGAATATATTGTGACGAAGCCACTGTGAATTCCTTATATCAATGTCGGTCTGTAGGGCTCGTCGAACTACGAGCGCTTCTCCTTCATTTGGTGGAAGGTGATACACCTCACCCTGGTCCTCAACTGTCTCCTCGTTGCTAAATTCCTCCACGACTCCCTGATCTGTGAGGGTGACTACTAGGCTCATTGGATAGCTGGAGACCGTGCAAAGGATTCAGATCCTCATCTCTATCTCTCTTTCGACTCTCTAGATCTCTGTCGAGGGTAACCTTTCTTTGGGTCATCTCCCAATATTCGCAAGCATCTGTTGCAGGCGATAGAGCTCTCGTCGTATCTCTTTCCGGGTAGGCTCGAGCATATATTTTCTTAGTGGTACGGTTAGGGTTTGGGATTTGTGGAAGTGGGAAGGATATTTGATGGCAGGAAAGAAAATTTTTTGGTTTATGATGGATGTTAGGAAACTCTAGAATAGGATTAGGGTTAGGGTTGCTCTAATACTAAATGATAATATAATTAATTCAGAAATCAGCGAAAACGAAAACAAATTTTTATTAACGACTGAATTAGTGTTACTAACACAACACAAATTGGAAAGGAAATATAACAACTCCAATATTCAGATAGGACCACAAGAGAAGATCCGATGATGATGGTGGTGGTGGTGGTGGTGTTGGTGAGGTGATTGGGGTGTAGTACTGGTAAGGGTGGAATGGTGAGTGGGCGTGGGAAGTAATGAATGGGTGGCCGGTGGCTAGGAAATGGGGTTGGGGGATTTGGGGGGAGGGTAGGCCGGCTGGACTTGGAAGGAGGAAGTGGCGGCTGAGGGAGTAGGGGGACTGGGAAGGTAGACTGGTGGATAGGGAAGAGGTGGACAACAAGTTGGGGAAGGTTCGATGGGTTGTGAAGGCTGGAGGGGAGGATGGGGGTTGGGGGGTCACAATAGGTGATTAGGGAAGAGGGAAGGGAGAACGGAAGTAACAAACTAGGATATAACACCACTTCTGAGAAGAATATAGCCGGAGCAACACCTGGTCATTGAATGCAACCCTAGCATGGGAAAAAGGAGACTCCATAGAGACTCAAAAAGCAGAAATCACATAAAACCTAATCGTAATTCAAGGGAACAACATATAAATTGACTCCAAACAAGAAAATAGAAAAGAGAAGGTAGGGGAAGGGCTGGCGGCATTGCCCTAATTGCCACCAGGTTTCCTTGGAACCAGGAGTGGCACTCATTGGGCCGAGTCTGCCGGTCCATCTTCATCTTGCTGGCCTCCTCAACCTCGCATCAATAACTGTGGAAAGGATGACCATTACGAATTAGGATTTAGGCATGTCAAAGCATATAGATGAACTATCTTTTAATCCATACATCCAAATGGTCTCCACTTAGATCGGGCCACATAATTGCTGCAGTGATAATTAAATTTGTGAACAATGATGAGGTGAAATTAATTAATAAATGCTAATAGAGTTATTTATTATTTATACTTCCGTTTTTCAAAATGATTGAAATATATTGTAGAGCTTTATAAACATACTTTTGGTCAATTTTTGAATGTGCCAGAAGTGGGTAATTATTTAGGAAAATTTTCTTTTGAGTCGTTTTAAAATTTTGGTTTATTACATTGTACGGCTTCTCATCGGTTAAAAGTTTGATAGCTTTGGTTTATATTTTTCATAGTATCTTCAGAATTCTTGTTATCTCTCTCTGTTAATGGTATCTGTAAGAAGAACATTTATCTCCCTTTGTTTTCTCAGGGCTCTTAGAGCTAGTTCATCTTTATCATTTCTTGATGTTGTGGTTTGTTGTGAATCTTTTGATGACGATGGGATCTGCAAGAAGAACATTTATTTGCATTTGAAGAAGTTTTTCAGCGGTGTTCGTTTTACACGCCAACCTTTTCTAAGAAGTCTCCAGTCTAAGTATGAATTGGGCGCTCGTGTCTGTGTGTGTGGCAAGGTGGTGAGTGTTTTTAAAACTTATTCTTATTTCTTTCCTTGCGTGATATTTTCAGCCTATAAATCTTCATTATCCTTATTTCAGATACGGCAAAAGAAACTACATGGTCCTGTAGATTTCTTTTAGTTTGTTTGAGATTGATTGATCACTTATTGTGACAGACAACTGAGGGGCCGATTGGGATCATTTTATTTTATTTATGTTGTGATTTGAAATATAACTTTTTTCACATATTTGATTAATGTGTGATTATTTTTAAAAAAATCAAAATACGTAAAAGTTATTTTGAGCGTTTTTGATAAGATATTAATTTGTTTTTAGAAATAAAATAAATAGGAAACTTAGGGGCTGTTTGGGGTCACTTTTTTTTCATTATTTATTTATTTTATTTTGTTTATTTATGAACTGTTTTGAAATAAAACTTGTTTCACATTTTTGATTAAGTTATGATTATTATTTTTTTAAATCAAAACATTTAAAAGTTATTTTGAGTGTTTTAAAAAACATATTAGTTTCTTTTTAGAAATAAAAAATAGAAAGATTTACATACATACCACTCAATTCTCATATTTAACACCTATACAGTTTTTACGTGCATGCCACCTTTCCTATGATTGTAAAGGTGTACTTCAGTTTTTAACATTTCAAATGGTAGTATTTTTTATGTGATATGAAAGCTTTGGGTGGTATAGATTTAAAAATTAAAGCTTAGGTGCTAGATCTTTTAATAGATAAGAATTGGGTGGTATGTATGTTAATTCCCCTAAAAAAAAAACATATAAAAACACACCATTTAAACATGTTTTAAAATCAACAGAGAAAATAAAAACAAAATAAAAATAACATTAATTTTAACGACCCCTAAAAAAGTATACACTTGGGCATCTTGTTTAGCCAATTATTTGTCTTGTATAAAAATATTAGAATATTTTTATTGTCTGATCCGGAATAGATTTGAGCCTTCAGACGATACGCTCATGCATTTTCTCATGGCACATGCATTAAAGTTTTTAAGTAGATATGCATGGTCGTTATTTGTGGAAACCATCTCATCAAGGAAATATTCACCTTTTTGTGTACCAATTACAGCAATTATAAGAATCATCTTTCTTTCTGTACTTAAATTGATTTCTGTCATGCGTATGGACACATGCAATTGTTTCAGATCTGCTGTACGGATACATTAAGCAGAATTCTGCTTGGGTCAATGAACAGCTTTACCTTTTGCATCTCAGTGGATAATGGAATAAAAGCACCTTATATCGTTCCATCCTAAAGAAGAGAAATGAAAGATTATTTTTTTGGTCTTATTTAACAATGATTTTCCGAATTTCTGTGTTTTTCTTTCTTTTCTTAATTAGAGTAATTAATGATGATAAGAATGGTATGAAAAATGGAAAAATATGAAAGATATGTAGAATAATCTAAACCTGTAGATATAAATAAGTCATTTGGTTTCAAAACTCTATTCATTTCTTTATTTGCTATCATGTTCCATAGTGAATAATTACAAGGTAAAGTGTACTTAAATATTTTACTAGTAGTCTATTTAGTTTTCGTGGCATCTTCGTGGAAATTGAAATTTTGGGGTTTTCTAATTAGATATTCACATTTCTTTTATTTTATTTCATTTTGTACAAATTTTAGTTTATTTTGTTACACCCCAACTAACGGCCTATAGGATCAAGAAAATGCTGCTACAGTGGTGGACGACTCAGTCAGATCCAATCCACAATATCGCTTGTGCTATCTTGCAAAAATACATAACTGAAATTTGAATAATAATAATAATAATAATAATAATAATAATAATAATAATAATAATAATAATTGAATGGAAACACCTTTTCATTTAGGACTTAAAGAATCATATACTTGTTTTTTGAGCCATCGTAACTGAGAGAGAGAGAGAGAAGTCGTAGAAAAAGGAAGAGAAGAAGTGAAAGAAAGAAGAAGAAGAAGAATAAGAGAAGGAAGGAAGTCACCGTGTACATCGGTGGAAGTCTCGACACTTGTGGGCCAAAGGAGGAGATGACGCAGTGCATGAAGTGGAGAATAGATGCCGATCAACTCTAGTCGAGCGGCTCTCATGGGAAGCAAGAGCTTGTGGGTTTGAGCCGAAGTGAAGCTTTCGTGTGAAAGGACAGGGAAGCCTTAGTTGAGGACGAGCAATTCAATTGCAGAAGAAAGAAGGGAGGCCGAGTGAGTCTTCTGTGGAAGAAAGAAGGAGGTTGAGCAGCTCGTGTGTGCGGGACGGAGCTTCTCTTCGAGAGAATGCATGCAGCCGAATCAGTTTAGGGTTTATTTTATTTTATTATATTAGTATAAGTGATAATAAGTTAAATTAATGTTACTAATATTACTTTAAAATTTTGCTAATTATAATTAAAAAATATTAATGAAAATAACATTGGATTTGAGGCTCCGTTTGGGAGCGCTTCTATTCCACGACGTAGGTTCGGGCTGCGAAAATTGGCCCGTTTGGGATGACGTCTGGCGGCGGCGTCCTGCATTTTTGATTGAACGCGGACCGCAGATTCGACTCCGCGTCCCGCGCTCGAGGTAGCGTTCTTACATGTTACCTCCCGTCTTCTTCGATTCTGCAGAGAGGTGCGAACGAGAGAGTCGAAGAAGATGACGCTAGGGCTTTCTCTTATTACCTTTCTCCCATCCTTATTACCCCTCCTCGTTCTACCCTTCAACTTCGTTTTCAAACAGAAAAGTATTCAGGGCGAGGCGATGAAAATAATAATAAGTGGGGATGGGAGTGCAAAAGGAGATTTTGAAGCCCGACAATGGAGCCAAGCCTATTCGTGGTCAAAATGTTATCGTGCACGCTACTCTGTTTTCTTTCAATTCTGAATCAGGAATTGGATGAATAATGTTCTTTTCTCTCATAGAACTCCCAATCAAAATGAAAAGAAAATTCATCATATTATTTGTTTTATTTTCTCATCACTTGGATATTTTCTTCTCCTCTCCAGTCTTAATCAGAGTTGTTTCAAAGTTTGAGAATGATTGATGGAAACATAAACTGATCATTTATGTTTAAATGATGCTTGCTGTTTTGTTTGCATTGGACTAATTATTTCTATGCAATTGTGTTCTATTTTTTGGAACATCTATATAATTGTTTATTTTTCTATGAACTGTTTGGCTACTAAAATTTTAAATGTGTGATTGCCACAGTTCTGTTTTAAACAACTTTACTAAACAAGGGCAGAATGATCATTTTCCACAGCTATTTTTACACAGTTGCAAGTAACAGACAGCCGTCTTTCCTGCAACAGCTTCCTGAAGCAGCGCAACTGTAGCTGAAAAATTAAGAAGTTGCAGCTCCCCAAACAGACTCTCAAGATGGGGAAGATTGGTGATAGGGAGGTAAGGATTCAATTTTAAAATTTGAATTAACATATTTAATTAAAGGTATTAAGGCTTTATTTATGATTCGATATTAGAAAGATAAGCAGAAGGAAAGAGGCCGAACCAAGTCAAATTGTAAGGAGGATTAAGGAATCTTGTGTGCAGGGAAGCGAACCAAGCCTTTTAAGGTAAGGTTTTTATTTTTAATTAAAAAATATGTATATATTATATGGCAGATTTGATTGAGATTGAATTCCCACACTTATAGTGTACCGATGAGAACCTTATCTTCAGTGATATCGATGGCCGTCCAGAGCTCTGTTAGGGCTTCCAATGGCAATTTCAGTCGCAATTGATTCTACCGCTCGAAGGAAGAGGACCTCACATCGTCAAGTCTCACGCCATACTGGCGTCTGCGTCGACATCTCTTTTGCAACTTGGCTCTATTGCTCTTGTCGTTGTCTCGATACTGCTCGGCGTCTTGATCACAACTTTTGTTCGTTCGCAGCTCCCTTAACTCGCATCGTCTCTGCTCGACGCTGTTTCCCAGGTCTGCGCTCGACAGCTCCATCATAGTCTCTGTCGTTCGCAGCTCTCTTAGCTCGCGTCATCTCTGTTTGAAGCCCGTCAGACCGTTTCTTCCTGACCGTGACCACCATCTTGTAAGAGAGATGACATCGACGCTCCGTTCTTATACAAATGCCCTTGCCAACGACTTGCCCATTCTTGCTCGTGCCCTCCAGGTTCAGAGTCTGTTTTTGCTATCGGTAAGTCCTGCAATGTTCCACAATCGTACCACGAGGCTCTTGAAGGTGGCAGTGATCACACTTTTATTAAAAAGCTTGGGAAAAAATAGGAAGTCTGCACTTATTCTCACTGTGGTTGAAACTTGTGCTCTAGCGTCCTCTTAGCGTTTTGCTATAGTGGGAAATTCCTTTATGGTTACCCAAAACTGAAGATCATTAGGAACCTTTATGGTTACCCAAAACTGGAGATCATTAGGAAAAAAAATTGATGCTATGAAATATTGGGCAGTTGGAACATTGGTCTACTAGACGGTTGACATATACTTATTCAGCTATCTTACGATGCTGATTACAATCAAAATTTCTCTCAAAAAGTTATCAAGATAGATAATCATTTTATGAAAATTCTAAAGTGGTATGAAAAAGATAATCATTTTATGAAAATTCTAAAGTGGACTGTCGGTTTTGATCCAAAAGCAGAGTCCCCTATCATTTCAGTTTGGATAAAGTTTTCGGGGTTAAAATTACATCTGTTCAACATGAAAGCCCTCTACTCTTTTGCAACTGCTTACGGTAAGTCTCTCAAGGTGGATAGTCCTACGTTTACTGTCACAGACCCTTTGTGGCTTGTGTTTTAGTTGAGAGAGATTTCACTCAACCAGCTCCGGAGGAGATATGGATTGACACTATTGAAAACGGGTATTGACAAAATGTTGAAATAGAACTACATCCTCCTTGCTCTCATTAGAGTATTTTTGGCTATAATTCTACTATTTGCTATCGCTTGCATCCTCATCTAAAGTCGAATAACACTAAAGATCAGCCACTTACCATCCTTGGTGAGAATGTCCAATTCGATCCTCTTTCCAACATCGCAGTTACACATGAAAAACA